AAAGAAATGGAGACTTAATTTTAGCCCAATAAAACTTACTTTGAGCTCCTGACCTCAAGAACTGTAAGAGAATAATAAAGTTGTATTCTCGAAGCCACTAAGTCTGTGGTAATTTACTACAGCAGACACTGAAAACTAATACAACCGCTAACATGGTTCTCAACCATCAGAATGCAAGATCTGCATTTGTTTCGTAAAATGTTTAAAAATCTAAAAGCACCAAACATTTTAAAAAGTGGTTTAAATATTAACCCAAATCAAGGCAAGAACAGTTTCTGTCTATAAGTATACACCCGGTTTTAAAATACAATCACATTTTTTAGGGTAGTTAAATAAAAATTTACCCTCAAAAGTTAAAAAAAAGATTCTATTGAATTTCTGAAATTGGGTCAAGCGGCTATGTCATTGTAGTGCAATAATGACTATACCCAGTGTTTCTTCATCTCAGAGATTGCCTTGTTCTTTTGACTCCCCTCAATCTATCTCTGAGGAAAGAAGGGGAAATAGGAGAACAGAATCCTATCATTCCTGCTTCATTTAACTCTTGATTTTTAGAACAAGATATTAAAAAAAATTTTTTAAAGAAACATTTTCTTTCATTCACTAATAACTAGGGAAAACCAAAAATACTAAAATTAGCAAATATTTATAAAGATGTAAAAGATTATTTTACATAAAGTATCATGTTAAATGAGAATGTTCCTTTGACACTGTTATACAAACTCAGAGAAAACCCTATTATCCGTGACAAACTACAGTTCTTAAGTGAACAAGACTTTGACGAGGCCCATTCAGATCAGAGTGGTGAAGGACTAACGCAGCGGCGCGGTGGACAGGCGGCGGCCCGCCGCTGCCGCGCGCACAGGCCCTAGCCCCCGTCTGGGGAGACTCCACACGCTGTGGAGCAGCTGAGTCCGCGTGCGCGTGACTGGAGCCCACGTGCCCGAGGGCTACACCTGCCGCCACTGGCCAGAGAGCTGCATCTCCTGAAGCCCGACTGCCTAGAGCCCGTGCTCTGCAACAAGAAGCCCCCACCGTGAGAAGCCAGGCACCTCAGTGAAGAGTAGCCTCACCCATCGCAGCAAGAGAAAGCCCATGCACAGCAACAATGACCCACTGCAACCAAAAATAAATTTTAAAAAATTTTAAGTGGTAAATACACCATTTATGGAATTATAAACTGTTTTTACCAAGGTTTATAGCTGAAGTCCAAATCAGGATAAAATGATTTCATTTTAAAATGAACATCTTACTAATTTTGAATGTTGATGCTATAATTAATCATAGAATCAATATCTGACACAACACAACTGACATACTGTCTTCATGGATAGAAGTTAGAAGGATGTCAGTTATTTCTTCTTTGGAAATTTGTTTTTTATGAAAATTTAGTATTCTGCTTAATTAGGTTCTCACACTTGATATGAAGCTCTGTGTACTATAAAAAGAAATGTAAATAGCAGAAAAAATCAAATAAAGTACTATAATTAACTCTTAGCCCACAGAAAATATCCCTGCATCCCCAAATGTTAAGAGGCTCCTAATTAAATCTTTTAGATGAGTAATCTAACCAGTGAATTTACCTGGATGTTTGCTGGTTTTATAGTGTACCCTACACTAATAATGCCTGCTTTTACAGAAAATAATGTTTTGACCACCTCAAATAAATTGCTAAATGTGTTGTACTAATACATACCCATAGTGTCTGCTTAGTTAACAATCAGCTGTATTCAAAAAATGAGAATCTTTCATGCCTAGCATGTAAGAACCACACCAAGAAATCTTTGTACATTCAAGAAGTATTTAAAAAATAAAAGTATATAAAATGTAGCATTTAACTGAACAATAAAATAGGAAGCCTTTAGGCAAAAATAGAGCAAAGTACCCAGGGAAAAATTAATTAATTCTATTACAATGATTTTGACATCAGTCACTAAACATGTTTGAGACTGTAACAGCTCTTGCTAATTATGCAATTAACCATAGATTTAAATTTTTATTCTGATATTAAATATATTAATTTGTTAAAACTTTAGGGAATTCCCTGGTAGTCCAATTGTTGGGACTCCATGCTTTCACTGCCGAGGACCTGGATTGAGTCCTGTCAGGACTGAACTAGGATTCCACAGGCCATGTGACACAACCAAAAACAAAAATTCATTTTAATTGAGAAACTGTTCTAGAAATGCAAATTTAATACCTCAAGTCAGAGAAAAGAAAATGGACACACAGAAAAGAACTGTAATACTTATGGGAACATAAATTATTAAAAATTAGGTACTTTCTTGGATATGATATGAGAAAAATGATGAGTTGACTATATGGTCAAAATAATTTCATGAAAAGAAAAATTTAATTTTTGGATCTATGTTGTATTTAAGTGGAGCCTAACTTCTTTACTACACACACAAGTGTGAGTTTTCTACTCCCCTCCTCTTAGAACAATTACTTTATAAATCAATGGTTTGCCGGGCTCATCAGTTTCTTTAGTACCACCTAAGTACATCTGGAGAAGGAAATGGCAACCCACTCGTGCTCTTGCCTGGAGAACTCCACGGACCGAGGAGCCTGATGGGCTGTAGTCCATGGGGTTGCAAAGAGTCAGACACGGCTGAGCGACTTCACTCACTCACTCAAGTACATACAGGGGCTTCCCTGGTGGCTCAGAAGTGAAGAATCCACCTGCAACGCAGGAGACCTCGGCGTGGCCCCCGGGTTGGGAAGATCCCCTGGAGGAGGGCATGGCAGCTCACTCCAGTCTTCCTGCCTGGAGAATGCCATGGACAGGAGAGCCCGGCGGGCCTGAGTTCATGGGGTCACACAGAGTTGGATGTGACTGGGCACCTAAGCACAACACAGCACACATACGTTTATAATTTTTAAAATTCTGTGAATTTTTTAAGGAAAAACAGTAATTGTTTCACTTCTATCTTACCGATACAGTGACTCAACTTTACAGTGCAAGAATATGAATGTCAATATGAACACAAAAGCAAGACTACAAACTGATGTTTTCTTTGGGGTATTTTTTTTTTTTATGATCAATTCCAAACACATAGTACAGGGAAGATGGAATGAGTAAGAAAAAAAAAATTTTTATTTCCCCATTAACACCAAGTCATATTATTCAAAATGTGTTTCAGAATATTTAGCCAGATCACCAAATCCCAGCCACTGCCTTAGTTCAAATGTTCACTAAGAAAACAGTCAAGCAACAGAAATCCATTGAGACTTTTATACAGAGAGAAGAGCTACATTGCTATTTATAATTTATTAACTGGGTTTAGTCTCTCAATACTTAGCCAGTTTGTGTAAAAATTACTATTCCCATTGGTTCATAGTTACAATAATATAAATACATAATTTCAAAGTCAATATTCCTTTCGCTGTGAATATAAAACTTCTTAAAGAGAGTGTGGATTGGGACAAAATAATGACTGGCTGCTGGGATAGCACTGTTCAAAGCCAAATATACTGGCAGGATCAGAAAGCATAAATATATATACAAACTCTCAGGATGCTACTGTTTTCCACATTTTTGCAATACATACTTATCTCATAGTATGGTATGAATTATTTCCTCCAACTTGAAAAAAAAAGATTACTACATTTTAATCTTCATTTCAAAATAATTCATTCAAATGAAAAAGAAGTTCATTTGTTAATTCTGTTCAAAAGATGGACTTAAAACATTTTCTTCAGTACATGTACAAATTTTTCTTAACCTAAGTGTCTCATTACAACCAGTTCAGCAATAAGACCTCTAGTGCTTTGTGAGAAAACTGCATTCAGTAGGTATGATTGTAGAATCTATGGTTGAATCCTTCTTAAGACACTGAATTATAACTAAGTCCAAAAAATGCATGAGCATTCAACAATACCTTTGGAATCTGTGAATTACTGCAAAAAAATTTTACATGTCCATATAATTCAAACATAAACTTTGTGGAGAAGGGGTGTAAAATAAATACTATAGTATTTTTCAACTCTATTTAAGTGCTGCCTAAATGGTTAGATGTGAAGATTAATATTACTAACACTATTAGTCAAACTATTTCAAAGACTGTTTTCCAAGTAGTGAGAACAATTTTGCAAAGCAAAGATAAGCAAGAGCCTATGCCAATACATTTTTCCTGTAGTGTAATGTAATTGCTAATATGAGGTATAATCTGTAAGCAATTAATACAAATATAAATAGGTATAAGTCACCACTAAATCACAGTCTGGTGAAAAGCTTCTCAGGTAATGTAGTTTGAGGAGGGAGTTAAGGGAAATGGAGAGAAGGGAGGGACAGGGCAGGTTTCCAGTGGGAACATCATTTACACTCTATCGTTATCACTATCTTGTATGTAACTATCCACTGATGCAGAAAGGTAAATCCTTTCTAAGTATGCTGGTCTAGAATATACTTTGTGTAGCATAGTAAGATTACTTAAGTATTACTGATGCTTTATTTGCATTTATACTTGGATATACACATAATTATATGTATATCAAAAACTATAAACAGAATTTAAAAACACTTTATCTCATTTTAGAAAACTTATTAAGATAGAACTATGTGCTACAGAATTTCCTAGAATATCTAAACTCAGGTATAAAACCAAAGGAAAACATTACTATGTCTTTAGTATAAATGGTTTGTGTGAAACCTCAAGTTCACTCATCTTTTTATAGATGTGTTTATTTGATGAGGATTGTGATCCAATGATTGTTTAGCAGCAATTTTACCAAACTGTAAATTCTTTTATTAACAGGCATTATAAACATAATACTAATCTTATTTAAAAACCATGAGTGCCACACCAATGAATATACAGCTCATGAATAACTTAAAAAGTATTTCCCATTTTAAAAGGCAACACTCAGCATACAAAAACCTATACTAAACAAAGAAGCTATAATATGGATACATGATTGATGTGTCTAAAATGATATATATACAGTACATAATTAATGTTAATTATGTGATCAGTACATTTTTTTCTATAAGATTCCCTTCATGCTTCACTTTCCCCAGAAACTGAATTCTGAACTTCTTCTTCTAAAATTGGTACAATCAGGTTATCCTTGGACATCAAATTATATTTCATAACAAATTTAGTAAACCGATGACACAAAAATGTTTCATTCTGTAGAGAGAGAAAAAAACTTATTTCAACTTACTACTCAAAACCAAATAAATGAGACATATATCAACATATATCATTGTCATTCTCATAAGAATGTACCAGGACAATTAATGAAATATACTTACTTCATATTCATCAAATATCTGCCGGTGATGAAAATAAGCATGTGAAAATATTCTGTAAATCCTACGGCATACTGATCCTAGTTTTGCTACAGATGACTCCTTTATGCTAACCCTAGAAATAGAAAAGAAATCATAGATTCATAGAGCTAGACAGATCTTAGGAACAATATAGTCCAATCTTCTCAACTGACAAGAGAAGAAACCGACACCAGAGAAAATAAGTGACCAGTCCAGTTCACAGTGCTAGTAAGTGGCAAGGGCAAGACCAAAACTCTTGTTCTTCACTCCTGGGATAGTGCTCTTTCTACCTAACCAGAGCGCCCAAGAAATTCAGAATTATAATTCTGAAACTTTGTTAAAGTTTAATACAACTGAAACAAACCTTGGCAAAACTTATAGAAGTCAATTTTTTAATGTGTATGAGAAATAAAAACTGCCTATTTGTTTTCTTTTTTAAAATGTATACAGGATATTAAGACAAAAACCACTATTTTTTACATATTTTATGTGAGCTCTTTGAAGACGGTGATATTTAGGTGAAAAGGTCTCCAAATCTATCCACTCGGTAACAAGTATCTTAAGAGAATAGAAGACCAGTCACAAACCTCACCAGTAATATATTACAGTTCCGCACAGCTTCCTCCCGGACCTTAAAAGGCTGAAAGCAAGGGTAAGGACTCCGTGAAAAATTTTCAGTCCAACAGAGAACAGACCAAGGCGGAGGAGGATGGGAGAGGGATGGGTGGGCGTTTGGGGGTAACAGACGCAAACTGCTATATACAGAATGGATAAGCAACGAGGGCCTACTGTATGGCACAGGAACTATATTCAGTATCCTGTGATAAACCACAATGGAAAAGAATATGAGAAAGAATGTGTGTATATATATAACTGAGTCACTTCACTGTACAGTAATTAACACAACACTGTAAATCAACTGTACTTCAATTAAAAAGGAAAACATGCTGGAAACACACAGAACATACTTAAGAAGAAGAAATGAATAAGCAGTCCTAGTTAGGAGAGTCTGCTCTTTAGCAGGCTGTCTACAGGGATGCTCACTCAACCAAAGCGTCAAGTAAGCAAGTGTGTAAATGTCCCAACCCTAAAGCTTGCGAGGGACAGCCTGGGAAATGACGCACAGCAGGAGGAACTTCCCGCGACCGAACCGGCCAGTGAGCTTTGGGAGCTGAGCCCGGATGCCTTTAGTGTAACCACAGTCTCAATTTCAAAATGTGAATGATTCTGGACAAGTCAAATATACAACAGGTAAAAAAGTTTACAGAATACAATGCATTAATGAGGAAACTGGTGATAACATCAATCTTTAAATCCAAAAAGTTTAATACCAATAAAGGTTTTATTTACCTGCTGGGAAAATATTTATTGCTATTCAGAAGACATGCAGCACCATCAAGTGTGTGTCTAGTGTAGTCTATAGCAGGACACTGTAAAAGAAAGGATATAAAAATGCATGAACAATGAGTTCTACCTTTAAAGTTAGGTATATTTATTGCATAGGTGTCTTAATTCAAAACCTCTAAGCATATTCTAAGGAAATGTTCCTTACAATATCAGAATGACTGTAAAATTCAATGTTACGTCAATAAATAAGGCTTTATTATCCCCTTCAACTATAATACCCAGCTTATAGTAAATAAGTGAATCAGTCTCCCAATTTCTCACTCTCAATATTGTACCTAGATGAAAGCAATGCTTCCATCGAGTTAGAAAGAACACCTGATTATTTAATCTAACTCTCTGACTTTACAAATGAGGAAACTGGTCAGTTTGCAAACGATGCACAGGATTCTTACCAGATCTTAAAAATCTATGGGAATTCCCTGGCTGTCCAGTGGTTAGCACTCCACACTCTCACTGCTGAGGGCCCAGGTTCAATCTCTGGTCAGTGAACTAAGATCCCACAAGCTGCACAGTACAGCCATAAAAAACAAAATAAAACAAAGAATCTATAGGCAAGGATAAGGAATTCCTCAAAACAAGCAGACGAACTTAGCAAGTCTTGTCTTTAGGCATGCTAAGAGGAGGCTGACTCTGTCCTACAGAAATGGAAGTAAACGAGCGTGCAACTATCCCAACGCTAAAGGATGAGAGAGACAACACCTGAAGAATGATGCACAGCAACAGGGACTACCCTTGACTTCTGGTCAATGATTCATGCTCTCTGGCTTTACAAATGAGGAAACTGGTCAGTCTGCAAAAAAACCATAACCCAGATACACTGACTCCTAGTCCACTGGTTTATACTTTACCAAGTGGCCCTGCAGCCTTCTTCTCCACAAATACCTCCAAAGATCGCTGTCTTCTTACATCCTAAAAAGTATGCCTTACTATGTTGCTGGCACCCTAATTCCAATCTAGGAGCTCTATAAAAATTTTCTCCCTGAACCTCCTTTGCAATTTAATATGAAATCTGAAGTTTCTTTACATTTTAACAAACCTGTCTAGCAAATCAGCAAATCTATCAAAGGAAAGATAAAACTGCCAAGTAATTTTTCTCACTTAGTTCTTCTGAGGGCAGAGGATGAGAAGCATCAAAAGAAACAAAGACGCAGAGTGAACCAGGGAACCGAGAAGAAACAGATAAGACTAGAGAAAGAAAGAAAAGTGACTCTAATTCTACTTGGTAATTAGAGTATTTTTCAAGTGCTGAGAATGCAACTGGTGTTTTAAAATGCAGTAACTACTCAACACGGCTAAGTATAGTACATGGCAAATACAGATTAATCTAAACCCCAAAAAAGGCACATCCTCTTTCAGCCATCTTTCCGTGCCACCATGATGGTGCACATGTATGTCCTGGCTGATGCTCTCAAGAGGATCAACAATACCAAAAAGAGAGGCTAATACCAGGTGCTCCAAAGTCACAGTCAGGATTCTGTGATGATGAAGCATGGTTACACTGGAGAATTCAAAATCATTGATGATAACAGGGCTGGGAAAACTGTTGTGACCCTCACAGGCAGGCTAAATAAATGTGAAGCGATCAGCCTCCAATTTGATGTGCAACTCAAAGATCTAAAAGAATGGCAGAATAACCTGCGCCCGTCCAGTCGGTTTGGTTTCACTGTACTGACAACCTCGGCTGGCATCACGGACCACGAAGAAGTAAGACAAAAACACACGGGGGGAAAACCCTTGGACTCTTTTCCAGCAATGTGCTGCATACGAATAAAATGCCTCAGGGGAAAAAAAAGGACATCCATAGGAATTTTATGGCTAGCAGACTCCCTGCCTAAAACAGTAACAAGAGCAGTATTTATTGAAAAAAGTATCTTTATCCATATATATGATTACAAGGTGATTTGGTCAAAGACAAACATCCCAAGTCATTGTAATTCTCATTCATATTGGTCACTTGGATGTACCATTAAGTCAGCATGGAAATACAATGAAAGCTACATATTTAAATATTCTAGTATCCACATAAAATAGGAAAAAAAAAACAGATGAAATTAATTTTAATGATGTATTTTATTTAACCCCATATAGCCAAAATTACCGTTTTAACATAATTGATAGACAAATTGCTAATGAGCTTCTGTGTGGTTTTTTTTAGGAGTTTAGACTTTATTTGATGAACTGTACAGACCACTGAATAAGACAGGGACAAGACCAGAGAAAGACTTTTCAAAGATGCAAGTGATGCACTGCAGGAGATGTCAATTTAGAATAAGGAAATAAATTAGGAAGCTATTCAGCAGAGTCTGACCTGACTGCTAATGCAGCTTAAACAGCACTGGGAAAGGAGAAAGATTTTACGGAGATGCTATGATGATAATAGTCAAGGCTTACATAGCACCTACTAAACTCTGGGCACTGTTGAAAGCCTTTATGTATTAACTCTATTTATTCTTCACAACAACCCTACAAACTAGGTTATGATTCCCACTTTGCGGATGAGAAAACTGAAGCAATGAATTAAGGACTTGCCTAAGGACTCACAGCAGAGTCAAAAGTATAACATGTTGACTCTTGAATATGGTGGACAAAAAGAAAGAAATCTATTTTCCTGATTCATGAGGATATATGGAAAGTCCCTGAAGAGTCTTAAAATCTGATAAGACTCTCCCCACATATGTTCCAAGATGCCAGGCCATGAGGTAGAATTTCTGTGTTCAGGTCACTACTGCTCCCTTAAGGTCACAAAAAAGTCCAAGCAGTGTATGTGCTTGCTTTCTCCTTTTAGGGGCCTGTTCCCAGGAGAACCAGGATATTTTAAAGTTAAGATGTAATTCACATACCACAAAATCTCTTTTAAAGTGTAAAATTCAGTGTTTTTAGTATATTCACAAAATTGTGTAACCATTATCAACTACATTCTGTATCATTTTCATCACCCCCAAAAGAAACCCAATACTAAATAGCAGTCACTTCTCCTTCTCTCTTCCCCTTAATCCTAAACAACTGATCTACCTTCTATCTTCTCTGGAATTATCTATTCTCAATATTTCCTAAAAATGGAATAAAATGTGGACTTTTGTGTCATTCAGCATGTTTTCAAGGCTCACGAATAGTACAGCATGAGTCAGTACTTCATTATTTTCTTAATTCAAAACCTTTTTAGACTTGGCTTTTAATATATACAAAATACTTGAAAATTTTTCTCCCTCTACAGACTTCGTTCTTTTTTAAGGCTAAATAATATTCCATTGTATACATATACCACATGTTATTTACTCATCAGTTGATGGAAATTTGGTTGTTTCCATTTTTGGATATCGTGATTCATGTGACTGTGAGCTTTATTAGTGCACAAGTATTGTCTGGATCTATGTTTTTCATTTGAGTATATACCTAGGAGTAGAATTCGTAAGTCATATAGTAACTCTATACCTGTTATTTTGAGGAACTTTCAAACTGTTTCCAAACCCAGTATTTTACAAATCCATTGTCTATGTATAACGGTTACATCTTCTCCACATCCTGGCCAACACTTATTATTTTAGTCATTTCAGCGGGTAAAGTGTACGTCATTGTAGGGCTGGATCTTTTTTCTACTTTGGAAAACCTGTGGTAAAATGTAAAATTTGCCATTTTTGGCATTGCCACGTATGGGCATATGAGATCTCAGTTCTTCAACCAGAGATTGAACTCGTGCCCTCTGGAATGGAAGTATGGAGTCCTAACCACTGGACCACTAGGGAATTCCCATTCCATTTTAAACATTTTAAAATGTACAATTCAGTGGCATTAGTTCACTATTGTGCAGCCATCTATACTATCTGTTTTAAACCAAAGGTTTTTCCTCATTCAAAATAGAAACTATAACCATTTAAGTAGTAATTGCCCCACATTCCCAATCCCCAGCACTGACAACCTCTAATCTACTTTCAGGCTCTATGAATTTGTCCTTTCTAGATATATCATATAAGTGAAGTCATATCATAACTGTTCTTTTGTGTCTGGCTTAGTTCACTTAGCATACTGTCCTTCAGGTTCGTTCATGTTACATATAGCATACATCAGAACTTCATTCCCTTTTATGGCTGGCTAACACTCCACTGTATGTATTTATATCCATCACATTTTTATCTCTCCATTCCCATGTGGTTTTGATATGCACTCAGCCTAATTACTAATGATGATGAACATCTTCATGTACTTACTGACCATTTGTATATTTCTTCAGCGAAATATCCATTCAAATCCTTTGCCCATTTTAGGGACGTCCCTGGCAGTCCAGTAGTTAGGACTCCATGCTTTCAATGCCATGGGCATGGGTTCAATCCCTGGTTGGAAAACTAAGGTCTTATAAGTTGCACTGAGCAAGCAGAAAAAAAAAAAATTGTTTGCTCATTTTAATATTAAGTTGTCTTTTAGTTGTTTCATAATAGCTCTTTATATATTCTGGACTCCAGACCCTAACAGAGATATAATTTACAAAAATGTTTTCTCTAGTTATGTACATTGTCTTTTCACTTTCTTGACAGTGCCCTTTAAAGCACAACCATTTTTATTTTCTATGTAATCTGATTTATGTATCTTCTTCCACCACTGAGCTTTTGGTGTCATAACTAAGAAATCACTGCCTAGTCCAAGGTCATGAAAATTTATACCTATTTTTTCCCCCAAGAGTTTCACAGTTTTAGCTCTTACATTTAGGTGTTTGATTTCCACTGTGAGCTAATTTCTATATACGGTGTGAGGTAGGCGTCTAAATTCATTATTTTGTATGTAGTTATCTATCCAGTTAACTCTCAATGAGATATTTTACATTGTCCCTTTGTACTAAATATTTGAAATCAGTATGTATTTCATACTTAAAGAACATCTCAATGTAGACCACCCACATTAAGTGCTCCACAGCCACAGGTTTTATGGCTACTGTTTCAAACAGCATAGCTCTAGATATTTAATTGATTTCTGAATTTTTTCTTTTTTTTCTTTTTGGAATTAGAGGAAGAGTTTTGCCTTAATTTAGCTGCCTCCCTCCTCCTCCTCCAATTAATTCTCAATTAACTGATCCTACTCTGCATCATATATAACAGCAAACATTTGGCAAAATATGGCCAAAACAGTATGTTACAAATAGTAAGTAATGTGTTCAAACTTTTATAAATTATATTTTGCCAAATATATATTTAGAATGCTACTGCAAGTAATCACAATCTGCATATCACTGAAAGGACTAACGGATAATAACAAGTTCTGACCTTCATTGCTTATAATCACTGTTTGTACAGTTAACTATTTGCTGCAATGCCTCTCTTTAATTTTGAAGGTCCCTGAGTAAATCATCACTGCTGCTGAGTACTCTGCACCTCCTCCACTTCAGAATCTGCCAGTGCTTTTAACTCCTAAGGGCAACTTTCTTAGCTACTCATCTGTTGCTACTATTTTCTAACTACATACAATTATTTCGAAAGGATTCAAAAAGTGTCCTCTCAAGATTTTCTTTTGTTTGTATGTTTACAATAATCCCATCCCTCAAAACTACCATTTGGAAAGTACACTACCACCATCCCTTGAAACGTGGAAAATCTAGTGGAGCTGGTCTTCAGCAAGCAGTGCTGCACTTTTAAGATTCACTCACAGGATATAAATCTGATGATTAGCCTATCTTACGTTTAACATAACTCAAGAAAAAAATTTCCCTGGTGGCTCAGTGATAATGAATCTTCCTGCCAATGCAAGACACACAGGTTCAACCCCTAGGTTGGGAATATCCCCTGGATAAAGAAATGGCAATCCACTCCATTATTCCCGACTGGGAAGTCCCATGGACAGAGGAGCCTCACAGGCGCCTCCTCTGGTCCTCCTTTGAAAAGCTGAACACAGCTAAACAGCAGCAACAAAGAAAAAGGTGGATGTAGTTATGACTTGGTATATATGTGTCTCACAATGCAAGACACACTGGATGTCTCTCCCACAATAAAGTGAGAGTAATGCATCTTTACTATTGCCAAAATGACACCAGCTTTTGGATTCAGTTTCCTAATAGGAATGATCACATCATGTACTATGCTATGGAGTCGATTCCAGTGAATTATCAATGAAACTGCTATGATTTCCCCAGATACAGAATGATACCCAATCTTAATATTGCTTCAGTTTATTAACTAAAAAAAAAGTAATATCATGAGTGAAGTCAATATTGAAAAATAAGTACTACTAGCTTAGACAGGTATCAGATACTTATTTTGGAGAATTAACCTTTTCAAACAAAAGAGCATGAAATATTGATTTTCCAACTAAAGAATTAACTGGCTTTAAACTTTAGTGGTCTGTCAATATAATAATCAAAGGTCTACAATCCTACAGCACAGGGCTAACTCAGTTATTTCAATGAGTCAATGTCATGTAAAAACTAATTACTACAGATGAAAAGGAAAGGCAGATCAAGGGAAACGCAATGCATATTTTTAAGCAAACCAGTTATAAAGGACATTTTTGAGACAACTAAGGAAAACTGAATGTGTCCTACATGTCAGATGACATGAATTACTTAAAAACAAAAAATGCTCTATAAACAATTACAACTTGCTATACTCTCACCTTAACAAAAACAAAATAAGGAGAAAAGAACATGAATGAGATTTCCAATAAGACCAATTATGGAAGGAAAATCATTATGGTAGGTTTCAAATAAACAGTAAGAAATATTAATGTAGAAAAAAAACTGACCTATAAAATTCAACATTTCTATTTGATAAGACTAGTAATCTAGTAATCAACTAGTATCAACTAGTAAGCACCAACAGTTATTCCTGTAAAAAGAAGTTAAAACTAAACCAAAATATCTAAACAAGTGTATTTCATCCATTACACATTAGATATCAACACAATATGACAGGTGTTATTATGTCAGTCAATGATTTGTAAGTTCTAGATGATTTAACTGTCCAGTTACAAGAAATGATACTATACAAACAAATGCAAAGATACACCATGTTCGTGGATTAGAAGAATTAATACTGTTAAAATGACTGTACATCCCATGGCAATCTACATACTCAATGCAATCCACATCAAAATACTTACGGCATTTTTAACAGAACTAAAACAAATAATTCTAAAATTTGTATGGAAATACAGAAGACCCAACATATCCAAAACAATCTTAAGAAATAACGACAAAGTTGGAGATACCAAGTGCCTGATTTGAAACTATACTACAAAGCTATAGTAATCAAAACAGTATGGTATTGGCACAAAAACAGATACATAGGGAAGAGAATAGAGAGCCCAGAAATAAACCAACACTTACATGGTCAGTTGTCTATAACAAAAGAGGCAATATATACACTGGGGTAAAGAAAGTCTCTTCAATAAATGGTGCTGGGAAAACTGGACAGCTACATGCAAAAGAGTCAAATTGGCTTACTTACACCATACACAAAAATAAACTCAAAATGGATTTAAGATTTAAATGTCAGATGGGAAACCATAAAAGTCCTAGAAGAAAAAAAGGGTAGTACACACTCTGACAATCAGGTTAAAAAATGGGCAGAAGACCTGAATACACATTTTCTCAAAAGAAGACATACAGATGGCCTACAGACACATGTAAAGATGTTCAACATCACTAATCATCAAGGAAATGCAAATCAAACCAGAATGAGATACTACCTCACATTTGCCAAAAAGATTACCATCAAAAAAACAAGGACTTCCCTGGCGATCCAGTGGTTAAGAATCTGGCTTCCACTACAGGGGGTGTGAGTTCAATCCCTGCTTGGGGAACTGAGATCCCACATGCTGTGTACAGTATGGCCCACCTCCAAAAAAAGGACAAAAAATAAGTACTGTTGAGATATATGGGAACCCTCCTGCACTGCTGGACAGAATGTAAATTGGTACAACCACTATGGAAAACAGTACAGCGGTTCCTCAAAAAACAAAAAATACAAACTGCCGCACAACCCAGCAATTCTACTCCTGCATACTTCCCCAAAGAAACAAAAACACTAATCAAACAGATACACACATGCCCATGTTCACTGAAGCATTATTTATAGTAGCCAAGATATCGAAGCAGGGCTTCTCTGATGGCTCAGCGGTAGAGAATTCACCTGACCATGCAGGAGATGCAGGTTTGATCTCTGAGTCAGGAAGATAACCTAGAGAAGAAGTGGCAACCCACTCCAGTATTCCTGACTGGGAAATCCCATGGACAGAGGAAACTGGTGGGCTACAGTCCAAGGTGTCGTAAGAGTCAGACACAACAGCGACTAAACAGCAACAACGACAACAAGGATACGGAAACAATCTAAGTGTCCATTATAAAGAAGATGTGCTATGTGTACACAGTGGCACAAAAGAATGAAATTTTGCCATTTGCAAAAGTGTGGATGGACCTAGAGGGTATTATGCTATGTGAAAAAACAGAAAGGCAAATACCATAAGATTCACTTGTATGTGGAATCTAAAAAACAAAACAAGACAGAGAAAGACAAATACCATATGATTTCACTTATAAGTGGAATCTAAAAAAACAAAAGTGAAGAAACAATAAAACAGAAGTCCCAGATATAGGGAACAAAGGTGGTGGCCAGAGGGGAGATAGAAATGAATGAAACAGGTGAGGAAGATTAAGAGGTATAAACTTCCAGTTACAAAATAAATGAGTCCTAGGAATAAAATGCACAGCATGAGAAACACTCTCAATAATACTGTAGTAACTCTGTATGATGACAGATGGTAAACTAAACTTACCACGGTGATCACTTTGTAATTTAGAGAAATATCAAATCAGTATGCTTTACTCCTGAAACTAACATAGTGTAGGTTAATGATATTTTAATTAAAAATTTTTCAAAAGATACTCATCAAAAGAAATCCTAAAGTAACACTGTGACAATAACCTTGCATCAAAAAACTCTAAACCAAAGAGCAAAATAAACAGTGACCTAAAAATTAAAAAAAAATTTGTCTACCATTTTCTTCAAGAGATTTAGGTTATAATGAATTTATTAGTCATTCAGCTTTATACATTCTCACCTCTTTTGGTGTTTTATGAGCTGCACAAAGAAAAATCCACTGTTCAGTTGCCGTCATCTGAGTGCATGTATCTGGATGGCATTCACTCTGTTAAAAATTGTTACATTTATTAACATGTAAAATAACAATGAAAAAGTTTATCAATTGAGTTGCTACATTTTGTGCAAAATTCTAGAATAAATTACAAATTTTGGATGTCTTTGTAAGCACATTAATTGATAAAAACAGGGAAAAAATCAGAACTTTCAATTAGTTTTAAGTTAAAGAAAATATTACCTGAAGTTTGACAGCAAGTCCATTTAGCTCAAGACAGAATTGCCTAAAAAGGTAAATACATAAATGAAAAAGCTTTATTTATTCTCCATATTATTTTTAGAATATTAATTGTAAAAAAAAATCCCATCAACACCATCCTTTCTCGTATTATCAACACCACTTGAATTTACATGGCACATTCCTTACAAAGACATACACATTAGTAAACAAAACCCAAAACTAACAACCCTAATAATAATATTCAATATCAGTGTTCAGTGAGTTGATCACTTTACACACTAGAAATTAGTATAATTTTTCTGAGAAATAACTTGAAAATATTTACCAAGAACCTTACAAAGTGTGTATTTTTTGACTAAGTCATTCTCTTAAGGATCTATTCTAATGAAACAATCAGAACTGCAATCTAGATATATACACAAAGATGTTCACTTAAACTCTATACATAAAAAATTTCTTTGAAACATAAATGATGAGCAATTGGAAAATCGTAAAATGTTAATATTACATAAACATACAAAAGACATATACTTATATTCACGGTACAATTCCAGTTATATAAAAATTTGTGTGTGTATATATCTGAATACAGTTGTCCCTGGTCAGGGAAGATTCCACATGCCGCTGGGGCAACGAAGCACAACTCGTAAGCCTGTGCTCTAGAGCCTGAGAGCTGAAACTGCTGAGCCCACAAGCCACGAACGAAGCCAGTGCGCCTGGAGTCTGCTCTGCAACAGGAGAGGCCACGGCAATGAGAAACCCATTCCCCACAACCAGAGTAGCCGCCACTCACGACAACTAGAAAAGCCCATGCAGCAACAAAGACCCAGCACAGCCAACAATGAAATGAATTATTTTTTTCAGAAAAGAAGAAAGTTAAAAAACAAAGGTCAAATTATCAGCTATCTATTTCCACTTCAGATGCCTAATAATAATGGTGTTCTAAGAGTATACAAATAACACTATTTCTGAGTCACTACATAAATCTATACTGCTCACTATCTGTTAGTTCCATGTTTTATGTTTCTGGGTTGTTTTCCACCAAGTAGCAATAAAGACAGGTGGTGATAAACAAGTTTCTCACCGAGTCCAATCTACATACAGCCAACAGGAAAACTAAGCTAACTGATCCGGCAGTGCTATAGGTACAATCTGTGGCAAACAGGGTAAACTTAACAGCTTCAAGGTAATTGAACACAGGGCTCACACACACACAGCTGAAGGGTCAAACCAGAGCTGACCACCCTCTAGTCACCAAGCCCTATACACTGGCATGGGATTGCAGCCATTCAGAGGAAACAGCATCTTCTCCTGATTACAAATATTCAGTGAGAAGTACTGGGAGATTTCACTGGGGTCAAGATTCAATCCCCATTAACATATTATCAACTACATTAACCCATAACAGCAAGTATTAAGCCTCAAATCAGTAACATTGAGCACATGCAAAAAAAAAATCAAACTACTCTGAAAACTCTTTATGGTTAACTATAAAGATGTATACACTATAATAAAGACACAAAACCATATATGTGTGATGTATAATATTTAAATTATACAAAACAAAAATAAGTGAATTATACAAAAAAATATTAAAAAATAACAAAAGTAGTAACAATAGCACCAGGACTAATGGAATATGCATAAGAAAGATTTTACAAGTTTTGTATAATGCATATTTCACAGTCTAAGTTAAGTAGGGAGGAAAAAGTTTTTTTAGATCTGAAATAAAAACCTTGTAAATGAAAATGAACCCTAGCTTTTTAGAAATTATGCTTATGGTGTAAAAAAAATACCCTTGCTTATTTTCATCATTTAATCCCACAGGTAAGTAAGTAGTTATTTTCAAAGTAGATTAAAATAAGGCAGAGTGTATACCATTCTAAAGTGTTTTCTATATTTATAAGAATGGCATAATATCTACACACTCATGCTTTCAATGATTATCCATCAAGATGTATTAAAAAAGAAAACCCGATCAAGTAGTCAAGTGACTTGCCCAAGAAACCGGCAGCTTACAAAGAAGTCTTCCCTGAAACTGCTGAACTGTTATGACAAAACACTGTCTTAACAATATCCAGACAAGCCTATAACATCAAAACAACAGAAAAAGGACCTTGTCTACAAATTGAGGCACTCATCATAGGAAATGTGGTCTAATTTATGCAGGAAAATTCATATCTCTACTTTATTCTATTATTTAAAAATCAATTCAAAGTAACAAACTTGGATGAACACATATTTCATGCTGCCTTCTCTAACTTATCAATTTCCATTTACAATGGGAAGTTTTTAACTTCAAGAAATAACCTAATTTAAAAAAAGAAAGAAAGAAAGAAGCTAGTAACTTCAAGTTATAGCTGCTTCTAAAGTTGACTCATGATTCATTAGAAATCAATTTTTTCATTCAAAGAATATTATTAAAAACTCTAAAACTTATTTCAGGATTACAATTAATCTTCATTTACCAAAGAGAAGACTGGAAATTCATACTAGTTGACAGGTAACTCATCAGCTACCAAGTCTAGACTAGGCCCGCTAGAGAGAAATAAAGTAGGTGGCTAATAAGCAGTAAAAATGAGTAGATACATGGAAATACTGCATCTGTGATTAAAGGAAATGATTAAGGAAAGCTATGAAAAATGATAAGAAGGCCCAAATCCATAAATACAGAAAACAATCAGTAAATAACAATGTTGAAAATTTTATAACACTGAAAACATAAAAGCTTTAGAAGCTGGCTTTTTGGTCTACAGTTAAATAATAAATTATGATTCATAATCATAATTAATATAAAGGTTATTTTTACTACTAGAAGTACTATTACTATTTTGATATATCATGAGGACCTACCTTAAATGTTCATACTTCCATACACCTTCATCTTGGCCTTCAGGTGGTTCAAGAATTTTGTCAATATTGGAACAATCTGCTCTTATGTTCTGTTGAATATACTACAAACAAACAAGTTTTATAGTTAATTAAAATATTATACTACACAGTAAATCATACAAGAATTATTGTTTAATGGGTACAGACTTTCAGTTGGGAAAGATGAAAAAGTTCTGGAGACAGAGATGGTTGCAAAACAATGTGAAAGTACTTCACAACACAAAACCATACACTTAAAAATGGCAAAAATAATCAATTTTATGTTATGCATTTTTTGCCACAATAAGAAAAAGCAGAGTGAATACAGAACAAGAAAATCCAAAGAAATCCATGCCCAGAGGTAATCAAACTGACAAAAACTAAAGATAAAGAAGCCAGGGGCAGAGGAAGGAACACTTCCAAACTTATTCTATGAGACCACAATCACCCTGATACCAAAACCAGACAAAGACAACACACAAAAAGAAAATTACAGGCCAATAGCACTGATGAACATACATGCAAAAATCCTCAACAAAATTCTAGCAAACAGAATTCAACAACACATTAAAAAACTCATACACGATGATCAAGTCGGGCTTATTCCAGGGATGCAAGGATTCAACATACACAAATCAATCAATGTGATATACCATATTAACAAATTAAAAGATAAAAATCATATGGTCATCTCAGTAGATGCAGAAAAAGCCTCTAACAAAATTCAGCACCCACTTATGATAAAAATGCTTCAAAAAATGGGCATAGAAGGAACCTACTTCAAAACAGTAAAGGCCATATATGACAAGCCCACAGCAAACATTATTTCCAATGATGAAAAACTAAAAGCATTCCCTCTAAGATTAGGAACAAGACAAGGGTGACCACTCTCAATTCAACATAGCTTTGGAAGTCCTAGCTATGGCAATTAGAGAAGAAAAAGAAATAAAAGGAATCAAGATGGGAAAAGAAGAAGTAAAACTCACTGTTTGCAGATGACAAGATACTATACATAGAAAACCCAAAAGAAACTACCAGAAAATTACTAGAGCTAATTGGAATTCAGCAAAGTCACAGGATACAAGGTCAATACGCAGAATAACTTACACTCCTACATACTACATACTAACAATGAAAAATCAGAAAGAGAAATTAAGGAATCAATCTCATTCACCTTTGCAACAAAAAGAATAAAACATCTAGGAATAAAGAGAATCTCCTTTTATCTCTAAGGAGACAAAAGAACCTATATGGAACATTATAAGACACTGATGAAAGAAATCAAAGACAGCATAACAGATGGGGAGATAGTCCATGCTCCTGGGCAGGAAGAAACAGTACTGTGAAAATGACTATACTGCCAAATGCAATCTAAAGATTTAATGTGATCCCTATCAAATTACCAATGGTATTTTTCATAGAACTTGAACAAAAAACTTCATATGGAAACACAAAAGATCCCGAATAGCCAAAGCAGTCTTGATAAAGAAGAATGGAGCTAAAGGAATCAACCTTCCTGACTTCAGATTATACTACAAAGCTACAGTCATCAAGATAGTATGATACTGGCACAAAAACAGAAATACAGACCAATGGAACAAGATAGAAAGCCCAGAGATAAACTCACAAACCGACATGTACCTTATTTTTGACAAAGGAGGCAAGAATATACAATGGGGCAAAGATAGCCTCTTTAATAAGTGATGCTGGGAAAACTGGACAGCTACATGCAAAAGAATGAAATTAGAACACTTCCTAATGCCATACACAAAGATAAACTCAAAATGTATTAAAGACCTAAATGTAAGATTAGAAACTATAAAACTCTTTAGAGGAAAATATAGGCAGAACACTTGATGACATAAATCAAAGCAAAATATTCTACGACTCACTTCTTAGAGTAATGGAAGTAAAAACAAAAATAAACTAGTGAGATCCAATTAAACTGAAAAGCTTTTGCACAGCAAAGGAAACTACAAACAAGGTGAAAAGACAACCCTCAGAATGGGAGAAAATAATAGCAAAGGAAACAACTGACAAAGAATTAATTTCCAAAATACACAAGCAGTTCATTCAACTCAGTATCAGGAAAACAACCCAATCAAAAAGTGGGAAAAAGACCTAAACAAACATTTCTCCAAGGAAGACAGACAGGTGGCTAACAAACATATGAAAAGATGCTCAACGTCGCTCATTATTAGAAAAACACAAATTAAAACTACAAAAAGGTACCACCTCATACACACCAGTCAGAATGGCCATGAAAAAGTCTACAAACAATAAAAACTGGATGAGTGTGGAGAAAAGGGAACTCTCTTGCATTTCTGGTGGGAATGTAAATTGATACAGTCACTATGGAGGACGGTAGGTATAGAGATTCCTTAAAAAACTAGGAATAAAACCACCATGTGTGGAGAAGGAAATGGCAACCCACTCCAGTAATCTTGCCTGGAAAACCCCATGGACAGAGGAGCCTGGCAGGCTACAGTCCGTGGAGTCACAAGAGTCAGACATGACTTAGCGACTAAACCATCCACCACTACAAAGTGAATATATGCCTAAAGATAATGTGTGAAAAGGATATTTGCCATATACTAGCTAGTTTTTTGGTGGGAGGATGGGAGTCAAGGAAGACTTGGGGTTATTTTTTTCATCAACTTACATTTTATACTTATTTATAATGGGCCATTATTTTTACTAATACTGTAAAACTATGAAAATGAATAAAATAAAGTTTCACATAGAAAAAAAACACACAAAACCACCATACGACCCAGCAATCCCACTCCTAGGCATATACCTTTACTTCAGTTTTGGAAACCAAAACTGAAAAAGACACATGTATCCCAATGTTCATTGCAGCACTATTTACAATAGCTAGGACATGGAAGTAACCTAGATGTCCACTGACAGATGAATGGATAAAGAAGCTGTGGTACATATATACAATGGAATATTACTCAGCCATAAAAAAGGAGGACATTTGAGTCAGTTCTACTGAGGTGGATCAACCTAGAGCCTGTTGTACGAGTGAAGTAAGTCAGAAAGAGAAATAAATAAATTATAGAAATAAACATAACCTACTGACTCATATACATGGAATCTAAAAAGATGGTGCTGATGGATTTATTTTCAGGACAGCAATGGAGAAACAGCCAGAAAACAGACCTAGGGACACAGCGGGAGGGGAGAAGGGATAGGACGAGATGTATGAAGACAGTAACATGGAGACTTGTAACACCAGATGTAAAATAGACAGCTAATGGGAATTTGCCATATGACTCAGGGAACTCAAACAGGGGCTCTGTGACAATCTAGAGGGTGGGGAGGGGAGGGAGATGGGAGGGAGGCTCAGGAGGGAGTGGACACGGGTGTACCTATGGCTGATTCTTGTATGTATGACAGAAAACCACAAAATTCTGTAAAGCAAATATCCTTCAATTAGAAAAAAATAAATTAAATTTAAAAAAAGATAAAGAAGCTGGGGGAAAAGACATGACCTTAGAATAAGAATTCAAATGAGTGCAGCTTTCTCATCAGAAACCACAGATGACAGGAAGAAACGGCACAGTACTTTTAAAGTGCTGAAAGAAAAGCACCGTCAACTCAGAATTCTGTATCTAGCAAAAATACCCTTCAAGAATAAAGATACAGATACTCTCAGAGGAAAGAAAACTAAGGAGAATTCTTAGCCAGCAGATGGCTCTAAAAGAATTACTAAAGGAAGTTCTTCAGACAGAAGGAAAAAAATAATACCAGAAAGAAACTTAGAATATCAAGAGCAACAGCAATTATAGATCTCTGGGTATAAATATATATTAGACTATTTTCCTCTGGTCTTTAAAATATATTTGGCAGATGAAACCAAAATATGCAACATTCTCCAATAGGGTTTTCAAGGTATATATTAAAAGATGTAATGTAGACAGCTATAGTATAAAGGAGGAAGGTAAAGAGGTCTATATAAAGATAGTTTTTGCATTGCAATCAAAGCAGTAAAATACTGACTCTAAATAGATTGTGTAAAAGTTAAGCATGTACTTAGTAATTTCTAGAACAATCATCAAAAAATTATATGAAACATAGCCAAAACTAGAATAAAACAGAATATGCTCAAATAACTCTTAAAAAGGCAGAAAAGGGGAAACAAAAAGAGGAAACAAAGGAAAAGTAACAAGATGATAATTTTAAATCTAAACATATCTATCAATAACTACATTAACACTGTTTTTGCTTTAGTTGCTCAGTTGTGTTTGATTCTTGAAAACCCCATGGACTGTAGCCTACCAGGCTCCTCTATCCATGGGATGTCCAAAGCAAGAAAACTGGAGTGGGTTGCCATTTCCTTCTCCAGAGAATCTTCCCAACCCAGGGACTGATTCTATCCATGTCTCTTGCATTGGCAGGTGGATTCTAAGCCACCAAGGAAGCCTATATTGAGATTAAAAGGCCTAAATACACTAACTAAAAGACAAGGATTGTCAGAAAGAACAGAGAAATATAACCCAATTATACTGTTTACAAGAAACTTACTTCAAATATAATGATATAGGTAGGTTAAAAGTAAAAGGATGGAAAAAAATACACCATACAAACAAATCAAAAGAAAGCTGCAAGGAATGAAAGGTAGTTCAACACTAAAAAAAAAATTAACCAATATAATACACTACATTAATATTAAAAGGGAAAAAACACACAGTCATTTCAATTAATGCAGAAAAGACACCTGACAAAATCCAACATCCTTCATAATAAAAATACAGAAAATCAGGTATAGGAGAGAAGTTCCACAATATGATGAAGGGCTTTTATAAAAACCCACAGGCAACGTCATACTTGATGGTGAAAAACTGATAGGTTTCCCTTGCTCTAAAATTAAACTTGAGGGAATTCCTAGGTAGTCCAGTGGTTAGGACAGTACACTTTATCTGCCGAGGGACAGAGTTCAATCCCTGGTCAGGGAACTAAGATCCCACAAGGCCAAAAAAAAAGAAAAAAAATCCAGAAATGAGACAAGAATGCCTGCTTTCACCATTGCTATTCAACACTGTACTTAAATTCTAGCCAGAACAATTAAACAGAAAATAAATAAATAAATAAAAGGCACAGATGACATGATCCTATATACAGAAACCCTAAAGAATCCACAGGAAAGCTCATAAAGCTAATAAATGAATTCAACAAAGTAGCAGAATACAAGATCAATATAAAAAATAAGTTGTGTTTCAGACTTCCCTGGTGGTATAGTGGATAGGAATCCACCTGTCAATGCAGGGGACATGGGTTCCAGCCCCCATCCAGAAAGAGTCCATACGCCTTGGAACAACTAAGCCCATGCACCACAACTACCGAGCATGCATTATTAACTCAGAGAAAGCCTGCATGTTGCAACAAAGACCCAGAGCAACCAAAAACAACAACAACGTCAACAACAAAATATATATATATATATATCAGTTGCGTATACCTTCAATGAACAATTCAAAAAGAAAATTAAGAAAGCAACTCCTGGAGCTTCCCAGATGGCTCAGTGGTAAAGAATCTGCCCGCCAATGCAGGAGACACAGGTTCGATCCCTGATCTGGGAAGATTCCGCTGTGGAACAACTGAACCACAACTACTCAGCCCTCATGCAGCAAGTACTGAAGCCCGCGTGCCTTAAAAGCCTGTGCCCCACAGCAAGAGAAGCCCAGGCATAGCAACTACAGAGTCACCCCCACGCTCTGCAGCTAGAGAAAAAGCCCACCCAGCAAAGAAGACCCAGCACAGGAAGAATAAATAAAAGAAAGAAAAAAAAAGAAAGCAACTCCTATACATATCCACACCTACATATGACTGAATCACTTTGTTGTACACCTGAACATTGTAAATCAACTATTTACTTCAATAAAAAATAAGAAGAAAAAAAGAAAGCAACTCTATCTACAACAGTACTTGAAAGAATAAAACATGAAAGAATTTAAATCAGAAGATTAAATACTTGCATACTGAAAATTACAAAACATTGTTAAAATTAAAGACCTAAATGAAAGCTATCTTACATCTATAGGTAGACTTAATATTGTTATCAATATACCTAAAGCAATCTACAGATTCTGTGCAATCTCTATCAGAATTCCAAGTCTTTCCACAAGAATGGAAAAGCTAATTCTCAAATTTATATGTAATTCCAAGGGGCACCAAATAGTCAAAGAATCTTGAAAACATAAATTGAAGGATGCATACTTCCCAATTTCAAGACTTACTACAAAGCTACAATAATCAAAACAGTGGACTTCCCTAGAGATCCAGTGGCTAAGACTCTGCTCTCCCAGTGCAGGGGGGAACCAAGTTCCATCCCTGACCAGAGAATTAGATCTCACATGCCGCAATTAAGAGTTCTCATGCCCTAACTATTGTGCATACTGCAAATAAGATCCTGTGAGCCGCAACAAAGACCCGGTGCAGCCTAAGTAATTAGTTAAAGTAGGTGTTGCCATTAAAAAAAAAGTCTAGTACTGACATAAGCATAGACTTATAGACCAATGGAACTGAACAGAAGAACTAGAAATAAATCCTCACATAAAGTTAAATTATTTTTGACAAGAGTGTCAAAAACCATTCAATGTGGAAAGGATAGCCATTTTTAAGTATACAGTTCTGTGGCTTTCTTGTATTCACCATGTTGTGCAACCAAAGAAAAGCCCTGGACCTAACAGCTTCACTGGTGAATTTTACTAAATATTAAAAGAACTAACACCAATCCTTCTCAAAGTCTTTAAAAAAAAATGACGACAACAGCATACTTCCTAACTTCATTACAGCAGCATTCCTGATACCAAAGCCAAATTAAGATACTCTAAGAAAACTAAAATAACAATATCCCTTGTGAACACTGATGTAAAAATCCTAGCAAATTCAGCAGCAAATTCAAATGATTAAACACCATAATCAAATGAGATTTATTCCTTGAATGGAAGGATGGTTCAGCATACAAAAACTGATCAATACAATACACCACGTTAACAGAATGGAGAGGGAGAAACACACCACAATGATCTCAACTGATGCAGAAAAGGCATTTGACAAAATTCAACATCTTTTTAAGATAAAAATACTAACAAACTTAAAATAAGATGAAACTAACTCAACATAATGAAGGCCAAATATGAAAAACACACAGCAAACATCATACTTAATGTGGAAGAGACTGAAAGCTTTCCATTAAGATCAGAAATAAGATAAGGATGCCTGCTGTTGCCACTTCCATTCAAAATAGTATTTTGAATAGGAAAATAGTATTTGAATAGGAAATGGCAACCCACTCCAGTATTCTTGCCTGGAGAATCCCAGGGACGGGGGAGCCTGGTGGGCTGCCATCTATGGGGTCGCAGAGAGTTGGACATGACTGAAGTGACTTAGCCGCAGTAGCAGCATCCAGGAAACCCTGGCACACAGTAAGTGCTCAGTGAAGCTATCATAGTTACAGGAACCTACTGCCTGTACACCCATTTATACATAACAATACCCAGATGACCTGTAAAAAAAATTTTAAAGTAGTTACACATTTATTTGAATGTGTTTTGGGGAACAAAGTATGGCTAGGCCCTCTATTTCCAATATGTGAATTCATAGATGTTAATACTGAAAAGTTCAAAATAAAGACGAGTTCATATTTTTTTACAATCAAAAAAAAAAAAAAAACCAAAATAGTATTTGAAATTCCAGCCAGAGTAATTAGGCAAGAAAAAGAAATAAAAGGCATCTACATTGGAAAGGAACAAGCAGTTTTCAAATGAAATAATCTCATATGTAGAAACCCAAAAGATTTCACAAAAAAATTGCTATTAGGACTAATAAGCAAATTCAGCATAGCATCAGAACAAAAGTCTACTTTTAAAGAGAAAAATATCTGCACATTTTTCCTCTTAATTTTTGCCAATTTCCATGCATAGAACTCCAGATTTTATTTCTAAATCCTCCACAAGGCCTCTTTACTAACCTATTAAATATTTGTTCATTGAAAAATACATTCTTTTTTTTTTTTAAACAATACATTCTTAAAAGGCAATGAGCAAAGCCATTCAATCATCAGTACTCTTCTATTTCCTGTGCTAAGTATCTAAACACTATACTGGATCCATTCTAAAGGTTTTTAATGTTTCTGTTAAGATTATTAAATGTTTGGGGCCAGGGGCTTCACAGCACAGCTCTCAAGATCTTAGTTCCCTGACTAGGGATCAAACCCATGCCCTCTGCAGTGGAAGCACAGAGTCCCAACCACTAGATCACCAGGGAAATCCGTGACAAATTTTTACTGCTCAAAGAATTCAGCTGTGTTTTTATTTTGTTTTCCAATATTTTTAAACAACACAATAAATCCAAATAGCTATCTACTTTATCTAGCTATCAAAATCAAACAGCCTTGACTAATATACTAGCACAGCCAATTTCATTCATCCTTTTATTAACCCTTCAATGTGATTTTTAAGAATTAGCTATGGAAACTTTTTTCTCCCAGTTTCCAGATTTTATTCACTTGGGAAGAACCATCACATTTTTTTTTTTTAACTCAACATAGTATACCATGTGGTTCTCAGTAAAAATGCTTAAAAATCTCCTGAAGGGGGAAAAAAAATCTCCTGATGGGTTTTTCAAACCAAACATGCTATCACCTCCTTGATAATCACAGTCTTAGTGAGCTATTTGGTAGTGGAAACAAACTTTCAAATATACTGGAGGGAGACAAAAGAAGTAGTAGTAACTATGGGAATTCCCTGGCAGTCCCCTGGTGAGTGGTTAGGACTTGGTGGTCAGGACTTGGTGGTCTTACTACCAGGGCCCAAGGTTCAATCCCTGGTCAGGGAACTAAGATCCTGCAAGCCAAGCATGTTCTCTAATATTCAATCACCAAATGAATAATGAGTATGCTACTTCTTTATACTTATATTATTCCACTTAAGCATTCAATTATTTGTGAATCAAATTCATTCTAAAATCAAATTTTATACCTTAATTTGGTATATATTAATAGATAATAAAATGTATTTAAGTTTGATGATAGTTTAATATGCCATCTTAAAACAATATGAGGTTTCATAAAAGTTTTAAGCAGGCATCCCAATAATTCCATGGATTCTGGTTTGTGCTAAAAGATACAGGAATACTTAACTGTGCCAAAGGAGATAAAATGCTCAGGTTATTGGAGCTGCAAAAGAAACTATTATCATTACCTGCTGAACAGCAAGGGTACTGTCCATTTCATCAAAGGATTCATCAGGCCAATTATAGAAATCCTGTAAGGAAAAAAAGTCATAGTTAAAGCACATACAAAGTTACAAAGAACATGCAATACTATTATGATTAACTTCAATTCTTAACAAAGATCCAAAGTTATATCAGGGGAGAAGAAAAGTTCTCATATTTTAAACAATGTGATTATTAGTAAGTAAATTAAACACATTTTATTCAATGTTTTAAATGAACACCAAGATTTTATTTAACTGAACTCTAAGTTACAGTTTTCTCAACCATAGATCCCTCAAATATGGCTCTCATAAACCTTTCATGTGTTATTAATTGATAAGTCCAGCACAATTTTGTTTGTGGTTAAATATTTTTCCAAAACTTCTAATGAAAAAAAAATCCAGGCAGTAAAAAAAATTCATCAGTTTTTACCCAAAGAGAATAGCTATAGAATAAGCAGCAGTTACGACTCCATTAAGTATTATTTAAGACAGATATTATAAATCACAGTTCTAATTGCAAAGGATGTTTTAAATTTCTAACTCAAAATGTGAGCACCATAAAAAACGAATCATTTAAAAAGAACAACCTACTTTTTAAAACATTTATTTGTTTACGTTTTGGTTGTGCTGGGTCTTCGTTGCTGCTCTCAGGCTTTTTCTAATTGCAGAGAGCAGGGGCTACTCTCTCGTGACAGTGTGCAGGCTTCTCACTACTGTGGCTTCTCTTGTTGCAGAGCATGGGATGAGGGAGCACGGGTTTCAGTAGTTGCCACAGGTGGGTTCAGGAGTTGCAGATCCTGGGCCTCTAGCACACAGGTTCCATAGTTATGGCACGTGGGCTTAGTTGCTCTTAAGCATGTGGGATTCTCCTGAATCCAGGATGGAAACTGTGTCTCCTCCATTTATTAGCAAGTGGACCCTTCACCACTGAGACACCAGGGAAGCCTGGCATCCAGATTCTTAACCACTGGACTACCAGGAAAATTCACACAATCTTCTTTTAAGGGGGATATTTTTATGGGTCACCTTGTACTGGTTCTGAACTGCTCTACAGATAGCCCAGTTCACAGACATTCACCAAAGTGTTAAGACTCTTTCCATCTGACGGCTTTTTCAGCAGTTTACCTATATATCTTCTGTAGGCGCTTAATGCCTGACACATTGTAGGTACTCAATAAATGTCTGGGAAAAGGTAGTAGTAAACCAAAAATCTACAACCCCGCATCAAGTCGATGTGAGTTAAGTCTCTAAAAATTGGAGCAACCTGAAGAATACAGTGTTTGATACCACATTAATAAAAATTTAATTGCAAAACATATTTATAAATATAATGCATGTAACAGTAAAAAGTTTAAAGAAAAAAAAAAAGGAATGATAATCACCATTACTGACCAGGAGTGGGTAGAAGACAGAAGAATGTGATACAGAAGGATTTAACTATATTAGTAATGTCTTAGTTCTGAGAGTACGTGATGGGTATGGTATACCATTTAAGTGTCTTAAACATTTCATATCTTTTCTTTTTCTATTCTGAATATTTTTCCTATTCTGTATGAAAATGAACTAAATTTATTTTAAAAGTCAAGAAATAAAAACAACTTTCTGGAAATTATTTTAGGATGTCTCTTGCTAGATACTATCTACATATTATTAGAAAGTAGTTTTAAAATTCTCCCTGATTTGTAGCGAAAAATGTTTCTATTAATACACCATGCAAATTTTTTCATTTTTTAAAAAAAATCAAAAATAGTTTGTATTCTGTTTTTAAAATATTAGAAAACACATATAGTAAAACAAAGAAAAGATGTAAAGATGTAAAAAGTTAATTGAGAATTAAGTATTTGCCTCATACCTAAAACACTTAAAAGAGCCAAAAATCCAGCTTAATGAACATTCTCATCTAATTCAGTAAAACATTTACTGAAAAACAACTATGCGCCTATAACCCAACCTAACCAATTAAAAAAAAAAATGTAGAAAGATACTCTATCTACTCTAATTCTAAATATATCACTTTAGAGTAGACCCATTTCACTGAAGGAAATCAGTGTGATACACAAAGGATAGGCAGAATGCTGCTTAAGTAGTCCTTTTTTAAAAATCCTAACCTTTTCTATTACATTTTATTTAACAACTTTGATCTATGACTATGTGGGAAAAAGCAAAGGAGCTTTCTATATGTGACTTACTCATAACATAGCAAATAGGTGTATTACAATACTGAATTAAAATCTATGATTCTCTAACCTTTCAAAATTAATAACTTTTTAATCAGTAAAAATGGATGATTCTTATGTGAGTACAAAAAATTCACTTCTAAATACAAAAATATACAAGTTGATCATTTAAAAGGATCAGAAATAATGTTTCCACAGAATAAGAATTAACAGCATCTGAGAAAGATCATTTATAAAGAAAGAAATTTTGGAAACAGTAAAAAGCATAAATAACATGCAAATTCCAAGTAGAATGACTATAAAACTGCCAATAAAACTGGCACAATAAAACATGACTCTATAAAAACAAAAGGTTTTCAAACTGAACTCTCTAAAATTCAGTATTAGAAGCAATTTATGAAAAAGAAAAGGTCACTAGTGAACTAAGTACGAATCGAATATGGAGACTGTAACCTTTGGCAAAAGCATCTAATTTCTGGGCTTCAGTTTCCTTATCTGTAACATGGATCTGGGAAGGTGCCTGGGTCTAAAAGTTCCCTTTGAAAGGACACCCTTTCCCAAATTCTGTGCAAGGCATTAAAAATTTATTCTCTGGCATAAGGTAGTAGATAGAATAGCTCCAAGATTGCATCTGGTCTCCTACCCTGCTCGCCACCCCACACATACACTTAACCTCTTTTTCTTTAAAATCACATTATAACATCTCTTCTGATTTTGGAGCATGTACCCAATTGCAAGCCATTTCACCTGGCACGTTGATCAGATGAGGTCTAACTATCCTATTTGATTTTTTTTAAGAATGCGAAAAGCACTCCGTCTTTTGCAAATCCAAGAATCAATACTGACATAAGGACCAACTCACCCCAAGTGCTGCCCTACTAAAAGTTGATAAAATTATAATCAGTTCCTTCCTTATGCTTCACATATAATAAAGCAATTCACAAGGAATGACATCTAACAAGTCCCAGCCTGATGATGAAAACTTGCTGGACCAGAGAACAGCTAGAGCGAGAAGTGGTCAAAAGCAAACAGCAGGAGGAGGAGGATTAAGTCAATTATCGACTCCCGGATCCGGCTAGACAATCTGGATGTCAGGAGTAGGGCAGGTCACAAGCCAGACAGAAACTGGAAGCCAGTTCGAGGCAGGCTGTTTACACCTCTCCCACCCTAGAAGCCCCGGCCCTCACGGAACCTCGGGGGTCTCCACCTGGACGGCCGCGCCCCTCAGCCACTGGTCACTGGAGATCAGGCAAAAAGTGAGAACAAGCAGTCGCTGCTAACAGGCTTTCCAGCCCCGGTCTCGGCCGCCCCCACGCGCCCCTCACGCCCACCCTCCAGTCGGAGCTCCGCAGGCCTCGCGGGCCGCCGCCGCCTCAGCCAAACCGAGGGGCTGAGGCCCCGGAAGAGCAGGCCGGGCACCAGTGCCGCCGCCAGTCCGCCGGTCGCCCCGGCCCGTCCTCCTCTCAGAGGTATCCACTTCAAAGTGCGACTCTGCTCGGCACCAAGAGCGCCCTCCCCCTCCACCAAAGGTGCAGAGATAGTACCTGAGCCTTGGTACCCGGCCTGTTCCGCCTCAGCACAGCCGTCCCCTCCGCCATGACCATAGTGCCAGAGTCTGGGCGGCTGGAGTCGGTACCCGGATGTAGGGGACGGCTGCCTGCGCGGGGGGCGGGGCGGAGCAGCGTTCCTGGCCCGGGCGCCGGGGAGGGGCGACTGCTGACGGCACAGCCGTAGCCCGCGCGGGGCAGGGTGGGAGGAACCGGAGTCCCTGAAAGGGCCAGCTGACGGAGGGAGGGGGTCGAGAGAAGGAACAGCCGACGACTCACAGGCGGCGAAGTGGAGGGAGGGAGGGAGAGACCGGCTGCCAAGGGCTAGAGTAGCGAAGGGGATTCCGCCGGCCAGCGCAGACAGCCACCGTCCCCAAGTGGGAATGTGTAAATTCGGCGTAACGCGTCGCGCATCTCCTTGGGCTTATGTTAGCTAACTGTAAGGACTGAGCTTGCACAATGGCGACCGTTTCAGTTGTCGGTTGTGCAAGCAAATACCTAGAGAAACATAAGTCTGTCCCGAAATGTGCCTAGACGTGCAAAGTGAAAAACAGGTCAGGAGTCTTGGAAAATTACACAGACCCTGCATGAAATCGACCAATTTCAAATCAGACTTAGGTTTAGTGTAAAATGGTATTGCCGCCATCCGCTAACTTCAAAGCCAAGGATCTTTCAGTGACAAGTTTGTGTAGATAAGAAACCCAGATGCCAATTATCTGGGGTAGAGGGGACATCAGGTATTGTGTATTAAGCAGACAAAATTAGCTTGTATTTTTTTGCAAGTCAGAGCAGGAGGAGAACATGAATGCCCCTTCATTGACGGTGGGTGTTGTACATCCCAGAATTTCAGTTTTCCTTTGTTGCAAGTTCTAAGTTTTCTCTTAAAGCATGGAATCACAGACGTATTGGCAAACCTTTTTTTTGGTTCCTGCTTGGAAATCTTAAAATGTTTGATCTGGGATGAAGGAGGCCTTAGGTTATCAAATGGGAAGACAGTTAAATAAGTAAACAGTGCATATAGTAGGGTAATTTCCAAGAGAGAAAAGCACCAGATATCCCATCAAGTACACCTAAAGGTGTATTAAGAATGCTGAGACATGTAACAGAGTCTCCAAAGATGGAAGCCAGGAGTGGATGAGAGGGTGGTTAAAATGAGCGCAAAGCTGAATAACTGTCATGACTTGGAATTTCGCTCAGAAGCATTTAATATGGGAAGTCTGTTTGCCTTTAAATAAAGATTTCTTCTTTCTGGAAGATGTAGAGACTGGTAACTTTTCAAGAGAAACGATAATTTCATCACTAACTTACAAGTGCAAAAAATTTATTCATCCAATAAGTGTTTATTAAGCCCCACTGTGTATTTAGCACTGAGGCCCCATCCTTAACGATAAGTTGATTAGAGTCTAGCAATGGAGACAGCCGTGCAAATCACCAGTTCTCTTAATAAATACAGTGAGAATCTAAGACAAGCAGCACCTAAATGTTGCCACCCTAAGAGAGATATGGGTGGATCTGCAGAGAGCAGATTCTTAGGTCTGCGGACAACCTAACCTCCCTTACTCCAAGGATTCAGTTATAATTTCCCGGATTGTGTGATACTCCCTGAGCTGTAAATATCAGTTATCTATAGTTGAAGGGGCTCATCTTAATGTTCTCTTAAGTCCAGAGTTAGTAATACTTACATACTGTTTCAATCCATCTGAAAAGAACAAAAGAAAAAGGGGGTAAGTAGGTGTTAAATTCAGGAACAAAATACATAATCATCTCTTTGAAAAGTCTAATTATGTTACATTGTGATGTCAATTCTGGCCTTGTTTACAGGAAGAACCTTGGTCTTTATGGTTGAAATGTTTCTAGCTCATAACCTTCACATTTTAATCTGACGTTTAATCTGTCAGTCTGCAGATTGGAAGTCTGCAGACCTCCAAACAACAATAATTCTATAACCACAATTAATTTAGGGAGTGGGGGGAAGAAGAAAAGAGCATGATCAGTAATAACAGTAACGTGTAAAAATAGGTTACTTGAATATTTTGGTTAAAGAAGTAGCTTTTTTTAAAGGTAAGATAGACAAATGAAAAGAACTCTGGACTGAGATTCAAGAAATCTAAATTCTCTTCCTTGTTGACTGTAACTTTGAACAGCTTGTCAAATAAAAGGGTGTGTGTGTGTGTGTGTATGTGTGTGTGTGTGTGGTAATGAAACCAAGTAATGAAACCTTCTGCCTCATAAGAGTATGATCTTTTGGAGGCTTCCCTAGTGGTCCAGTGGTTAAGAATCTACCTTGCAATGCAGGGAACGTGGGTTTGATCCATGGTCTCGGAAGATCTCACATGCCATGGAGCAACCAAGCCCATGGAGCACAAATACTGAGCCTGCGCTCTAGATCACATGAGTCGAAACCGCTGAAGCTCAGGCACCCTAGAGCCTGTGCTTTGCAACAGGAGAAGCCACTGCGGTGAGAAGCTCGTTACTAGAAGCTCTCGGAAACTAGAGAAAGCTCGTCTGCAGCGAAGAAGACCCAGTGCAGCAGAAATTAATTAATTTTAAAGACTCTCAGAAGCTTTAGAAGAAGATACTCCATAGGTCCAATGAATCATAAGTAATTTCAAAGCCATCTATCCAATATGAAATCTGCCTTGGGGAGTTTTAAAATCCAAGTAAAATGGTGAACGCCCATTGTGTTTAGGCACTGAGCAAGAGCTGAGAACCATAAGATGTATAAGCTCCTTTCTTCAGAAAGTTTAAAAATGAACAGGAAAGGAGGATATGTAAATTACTATACTACAGACAAAATGGCTTTGGTTGATGGTTGCCTATTTGTTATCCACACTCCTTGACATAAGCTCTTTGCAAAGAGACTTTACTCTTGCTCAGTATCCATCTCTCCCAATTTGAGCAAGGAAAGGTAAACCCATCTTTAGCTGAGGGATAAATCCTTATTGGCCCAAGCCAGTGTGTAAAGGGTGAGCATAGGACTCCATTTTAGCCTAAGGAGATATGAAAAGATACCTGATGGAGCACTTTGGAGAAAGGTTTTCTTGCTCTTGAGGAGACAGTAAAAGAGATGGTCCCTTTTTTGTGCCACTGAAGCTTGTCAGGTCTGGGGCTGCATCAACTGTCTTGACTTGAAGGAAGCCAACCTAAGAGCAGAGCTGATGCACTCACGGGTGCGTGAAGTATTTGAAATGTGCCATGAAGTAGCATTTATTGAGGGGATTTCATGCAGGCAGTTTCCTTCCAGGCCAAGCAAAACTGAAGCAGCAGTGAAGTATGGACATGTATGTTCACAGCTGAACAAAAAGTAGTTGTGTATGTAGTTTTGTACATTTTTAACATATTATCTGAAAATTAATTTCTCTTTATAAAAGTTGTTATAGACAAAATTTTTTGAATTTATAAAGTTCAAACAAGACAATTTTGACTACAAATGATACTCAGCTCCCACAGCACTTCATCTTTACCTCTAGAATATTTGACCAATTAGTGACTGTGGTAGCCAGTTGCCAAGCTGTCCCCCAGTGACTATCATCTCCTCAGTGTGAGAGAGAACCGAATGAAGAACACCTTTGGTTCTCTCACACACTGAATAGGGTGGACCTGTTTAATCAAAACAGGACACTGAAAACGATGTTGTGTGACTCCTGATGTTAGGCCGTCAGAGACACTGTGGCTTGGGCCTTGCTCTCTCAGCTCACCTCCCTCAGGTGAGCTAAGATGCTGCCATGTGTGAGGGTCTGCAAGTTGTCCACAAGGGATCCCCTGAAGCTCCCGCCAAAAGTAAGCATCAACTTGCCAGCAAGAGTAACCATCTTGGAAGTATAACTTGCAGATCCCAGTCAAACCTTTGGCTGACGGTAGCCTCATAAAATTTGGGATAAGCAGATCCTAAATTTCTGATGTCGAGATACTGTGTGAGATATTGTTGTTTTAAGCCACTAAGTTTGGGATGATTTGTTACGCAGCAATAGATAACTAAGACAGTAGTTCCTGAATCTTCAGGAAGGGAAGATATGATCAGAAGAGATAAGTCACAACAGACAATTATTGCCTTTTTTCAATAGGGCACCTAATGTCTTTCATGAAGTTAGGGGCATTTTCTACCTTTATTTTCTAGATGACACCAGTCTCTAAAATTATGCTATTAGTTTAGTTGTTTACTTCTGCCCATTTTATTCACAAGAAACTCTGGAAGATTCTTAAAGAGATAGAAATACCAGACCACCTGACCTGCCTCTTGAGAAATCTCTATGCAGGTCAGGAAGCAACAGAACTGGACATGGAACAACAGACTGGTTCCAAATAGGAAAAGGAGTATGTCAAGGCTGTATATTGTCACCCTGCTTATTTAATTTCTTTGCAGATTACATCATGAGAAACACTGGGCTGGATGAAGCACAAGCTGGAATCAAGATTGCAGGGAGAAATATGAATAACCTCAGATATGCAGTTGACAGACACCACGCTTATGGCAGAAAGTGAAGAAGAACTAAAGAGCCTCTTGATGAAAGTGAAAGGAGAGTGAAAAGTTGGCTTAAAGCTCAACATTCAGAAAACTAAAAAAAAAAAAAATCAGAAAACTACCACCATGGCATCCAGTCCCATCACTTCAAGGCAATTAGATGGGGAAACAGTAGAAACAGTGACAGCCTTTATTTTGGGGGGCTCCAAAATCACTGCAGATGGTGACTACAGCCATGAAATTAAACGATGCTTGCTCCTTGGAAGAAAAGCTATGACCAACCTAGGCAGCATATTAAAAAGCAGAGACATTACTTTGCCAACAAAAGTCTGTCAAAGCTTTGTCTGGTCAAAGCTGTGGTTTTTCCAGTCGTGATGTATGGATGTGAGAGTTGGACTATAAAGAAAGCTGAGCGCAGAAGAATTGATGCTTTTGAACTATGGTGTTAGAGAAGACTCTTCACAGTCCCTTGGACTGCAAGGAGATCCAACCAGTCCATCCTAAAGGAAATCAGTCCTGAATATTCATTAGAAGGACTGATGCCGAAGCTGAAACTCCAATGCTTTTGCCACTTGATGTGAAGAAGTGACTCATT